CGAATAAGACGCGATGTTGCTGATCGGGGCAGAGATTTAAACTCAGTTCTTGAGCAGGCAAGCTTTAACTCACTCAACTATCAGTTTTTGAAAGCTTGAATTAGAGCATCCTTGTATTCTTCTCACCAAACTCAATTAAAACATTTGTTTTCACGATCCTCCTTTAGTGCATGATCCAAGAGAGTTATTTGTCATTGTAGTGAATCGGCATTTTTTTTCTTGTGCAGTATGCGAAGTTTGTCAAGCCTGCTTTTGATGATTTTGTTCTCCCTTCAAAGAAGTATGCTGATGTTATCATACCCAGGGGAGGTGACAACCATGTTGCTGTGGATTTAATTGTACAACATATTATGACAAAGCTTGGCCAGCATGATCTCTGCAAAATATATCCTAATGTATATGTTATCCAGTCAACATTCCAGGTATGTATTTTTATACACTATATTACTTTTTCATTGCAGTATCTTAAGGTTAAGTTAGTGGACAACAAAAAATTTGATGGTGTCTTTGGGAGTTAAGTATTCAAATAATTGAAAACTCGAAGCTGGTTGTTGAGATTGATCAGAGTTGAGAGATGTAGTTGTATTCTTATGTATATTATCTTATTAGAAAATTAGGAATCTTTCTCTAACACGTCAAAATATCATTAGTAGTCATGCATACTAACAAAGCTAGGTAAATTTTCATGTTTACAGATAAGAGGGATGCACACTTTGATCCGAGATAGGGACATCTCCAAACATGATTTTGTTTTTTATTCTGATCGTCTTATCCGTTTGGTGATCTACTTTTTCCGAGTCTTTAGATTATGGTACTCTGTACGAAACAAAGCCACAAATGGTTAATAGAGACAAGTGTAACACTTACGACATGTTTTTTCATAGGTTGTGGAGCATGGTCTTGGTCACTTACCTTTCACTGAGAAGCAAGTAGTCACTCCAACAGGTGTTGTCTCATTAATTGCAACACAACCTTATTTCTTCTTTTACCTGTTGATCATGTATGATTGGTTTTATTTATGTTTGTCTATTAATAAAAAAAAGCACCCTCTGGAGTCGGACCCTAACGTGACCCACATGGGAGAAAATGATTTCAAAATCAATACAGATCCCAAACCTTTGCATCAAGATATGAGGGTGCGAAGTCACTCTTCTATCTAGAACCCCTCTCATTTGAGTAATTCATTTTAACGCACATGCACACACACAAGTATGTGCTTGAGTCATTGAAGTGACTAAAATTTTGAACTTCTTGTTGAAATTCAGGGTCTGTATACACTGGGGTGGACTTTTGCAAGAAACTATGTGGGGTATCAATCGTTCGCAGGTTAACAATGAATACTGAATACACAGAATTCTGCAATTTTGTTATTGGTTTTAGTTTGAATGTTGGATGATTCTTTTGTAAAATTTAGTTGCAGTTATGTTGAAAACTGGGAAAATGGCAGGAAAAAAAGACTCGAAAATGATTTTTTATAATGTATGGGTTTCCTTGGGGAATACAAAGACAATAACACCAACAACTGAGTTCGACCCCACAAAAGTAGGGTCTGGGGAGGGTGGACTGTCCACAGACCTTGCCTTTACTCGAAAGTAGAGAGGCTGTTTCTAAGAGACCCCCGGCTCAAGTTGCATAGATAAAAATATCACAGGAGATACATAAATGATTTTTCTTGTGGTTACAAAGGAAAATCAAAATTGACTAGAACGTTATATTTAGATTTCTTAATCATGATATAATAAAACATTTAAATAAAACAAGTTTAGACAAGTATCAAAAGTTGATTTATGGTTTGAAGCAATTGTTTATTTCCCAGTATTCCCACTACATTTTCTTTCCAATTTCATCAGTTTTCTTTCCCATTTTCTTTTCTGTAGCATTTTCTTAGTTCCAATCTGACTCGTTATGGTTTTCTATTTTCATCATTCTGAAAGTAGTCTCGATTAACTATTACTCATCTAAAGTGAGAGAGACACAAATTCTGTTTTGTTATCAGTGGTGAAAGTATGGAGAATGCATTGCGCGCTTGTTGCAAGGGAATAAAAATTGGGAAAATTCTTATTCACCGTGATGGTGATAATGGTAAACAGGTAAATCCTCTTATATCTCTATTTGAAGTAAATTTGCAGTTACAAATGATGGCATGGTTATGTCATGATTCTTTTCTCTTTAATATGAACAGCTTATATATGAAAAACTCCCAAAAGATATATCAGAGCGTCATGTTTTGCTTCTAGATCCGGTCCTAGCTACAGGTGATAAGCTGACAGTTCTTTATCTATATTAAAGCATGACATCAGTGGTTCAGAACTTCAGATTGAATATGGTGAAGAACAAATCAATCTGGACCATTGGTAAAGTAACTTTACTATATCCGACCCCTTTTCATCTGGGGTAGGTTGATCAGCTCCATCATTATAACACACTGGTATTGTCCAAATGAAGGTAACTCTGCTAACCAGGCAATCGAGCTGCTCGTACAAAAAGGAGTCCCTGAATCCCACATCATCTTCTTAAACCTAGTTTCTGTAAGTGTTTAGTCATTCCCATCCCAAGACAACGTAACTCTTGAACCATTTGTATTTGAGTTGGTCTCCCATGATTGGCGGCATGGTGAGAAGAGGCTAAATTGTATTGCTCCCTCTGTCCTGGAATAATTAACCCACTTTATGTTTTCATTCATTCCCAAAACAATTGATCCACTTTCCCTCTTTCCCTTTATGGAAATTAAGAATACGTTGTTCAAAATACTTCTCCCTTCTCACTTTTCACTTTTCCACATCTTATTGACACTTTGTTTCAAAATGGTCAAATTATTCTCGGATGGAGGGAGCATCTTTTTAACCCAAAAGTTCGTAATGTTTGAACGAAGTGCAGCTGCTACAAACCATCAATCATCCATACATTGTTAAAAATCTATTAGTTGGTTTAACCGAATTTATCATATGTAGCTTATTGAAGACTATGCAACTTATTGAAGACTAGATTAAAAAAGGTGTTTGACACATACGTTAAAAAACAGTTTTTGAAAGGCTAAAATATGTTTTATGTCCATGTAAATCTAGTTTTTAAGGCATATGTATAATCATTCTTCAGTTCGTTATTCATCCCTGTAATTCATCATTATCTTCTCATAACTTATTAACAGAAAAATGTAATCCATATATGTATTTAAGAGGGACCTAAAATAAACTGTACTCATTTGCCTGGACAAAAAAACAAATACATTTGACCGCAAGACAATTCATAATTCCATCATCTATTGACTCTGCTCATTTTCCCGTGTGTACGTTTAGGCACCTGAAGGAATACATTGTGTATGCAAGCAATTCCCGTCGCTGAAAATCGTAACTTCAGAGATTGATGTTGCACTGAATGAAGAATTCCGAGTCATTCCCGGGTTGGGTGAGTTCGGGGATCGTTACTTTGGTACGGATGAGTGAGTGGGGATATCCTTTTGCTCACATCACTATTACTACTACTACCTCTCACAATTTGTCCTTTCCCTCCCTCTCTTTGTTGTCCTTCTAGTGGTTCTGGTGTTTTGCACACCATTGCACATTCCCTTGGAAATGAAAACAGTTCACAATTGAATTCTATTAAACAATAATGCTAGAAATAGCCTTAAGTTTGACACCATGGTTGATACCATCGGACTATTTCTCGCACAAACAGTAATTGTCTGTGAGAAATTATTGTATCTTAGTATGTCATCCTTTGTGTCATTGCAGCATGGTCCTCTAATAAATTACTAGGGACTTGGGAGCAATGAGTCGCCTCTTGCGATGTACCCCTTTCATTAAGGCTGTGTGACCTTTTAAATAAATAAAAAGAAGTATTCATGATCTTATCTTATGTACTACGTGTATCAATTTATGGTTAATTTTCCTGACCGTTCATAGTGATATTGGTATTGGTAGTGATACATACAAAGATTGAACCTCACCCTTAGAGTCTCACGGGAGTCCTAGGAATGAATACAATTACTTAAGGTAGTATTTGGCAACTAGCATTTCATTTGAATTCATGCATTTCAATTCTAAAATTTGAAATCTTGAATTTTAAATGACAAGGGGAGGTGCAAGAATTTGAAATTAAACCCTGTTATGAATGAGAAGAATTTTTGACTCAAATCCAAATTCAAAATTTTTAAGTTTCCAAAACATGGAATTTGAGTCAAATCTGGATTTGAAATTCAAATCCATGTTCTTAAACATACCATAATAGAAATAAGTTAAATTACTCTGTATAATCTTTTTTTTGATAAGACTCCGTTTAATCTTACTCTCACATATAAGGAGGGAGAAATGCCCACGGTACATCCAAAGATTTCTTTCTTGCGCATGATCTCTTTCATGCATGAGGCGAATTTGGGGCATTACTCTTTTTACGCCCTTTCTTTGCCATTCAACTAAGCCTCGACTTAATTACGCATTTCTTGCGTTTTAATTTATATTGTCTGTTTATTAAATAAAAAATAAAAAATAAGCATTTGTTTTTTAAATAAAAAATAAAAAAAAATTGTTTTATATGAGAAAGTCTACAAAAATGATATGCATCTAGAGTGCACTAAAGAAGTACTCCATTTTAATTACTAATTTGATAAAATAATATACTCCGTAATTATGTCATATCTTGTTTTGTAGATTTTTATGTGATTTTCAAATATATAAATTTTATTTTTTTAATCTCACTTTTTTATTTGAAAATAATTTCAATTAAATATTGTAAATAACAAAAGATAATTTAAAATAGGAGGAGTATTAAAAATCTTAGGTGGTTCACTGGTTCTATGTTCCTATCACTTTTTTGGTAAAAGACATGCTTCACTAAAGTTGCTCTTGTGGGCTTTTTTTTGAAAGGTTATGGGCTTTTTTTAATTTGAACGGAAAACGAAAAACCCAAAAAATAGCAGTTTTTTTTCTCAAATCCGTACTACGGCGTGAAAGATTAATTAATTAAATCTCAGATAAAACTCCGTAAATTTTCAATCTTCATCTCAATCCTCATCGTCTCCGCCGAGGGCGTCTCCGATTATATCATCACTGCGCGGACCATTCGTCTTCGAGTGTTTAACTTCACCTTGCAGATTTTACAAGAGATATTAGGGTTTAGGGATTTCGGAAATGTCACAGAGCAGCGGCGACATCGGTCGAGGCGTGGCGTCCGGCGGTGACTTCTATCTGCCGGACGAAGTCTTATCCGTTATTCCGACGGACCCGTACGAGCAGCTGGATCTGGCCCGGAAGATCACTTCAATGGCGATTGCGTCACGCGTGACGAAGCTCGAGTCGGAGGTGGGCCGGCTCCGTGGAATGGTTCATGAGAAGGACCGCGCTATAACTGAGCTTGAGGATAAAGTCTCAAACCTCGAGCAAGCCTATCAGGAATCCGAATTGAGATTGAAAATCACCCGGGAAGATAATGTATGAAGTTAATTTCATTCCCAAAAAAGCAGCAATTTCTTCCTCCTTTTTCCTTTTATATGCATTTATGTCCCCTTGTCATGACATTTGTACATTTCCGGATTGTTTGGAATTAACAGATGAAGCTTTTGAAGGAGAGGGATACACTGACATTGACTGCAAAGAAGCTTGGTCGTGATCTAGAAAAGGTACTATTGGAAAATGAAAGTGAAATGCTGGCCTTATCATTCTGATTAATTATTTTTTCTCATTTATACGTGTTATTTTTGGGGTGTACCAAACATTTGTCTTATGGAATATGGATATGATTGTGTTATTAGGGGAAGGGTGGTAGTGGTGCCTAAGGGGTATAGTATGTGAGAAGCTAATCGGTGGTGGTTTGAGCAAATTAGACGGAGGAGTGCAAAGGTCTGTAAGGAGATGCAAAAGGCTTGTTGCAGTGTGCTTGATAAGGGGTAAAGGTAGACCTTAAAAGAGTAGGAAGTGATTAGACAATAGCCAGGACTTACAACTTCACTATCTTTCCAATGTTATGATCTTAGATAGAAACGAGATTTAGGATTAGAGTTGTTGGGTAGACTTGTGGGCCTTAGTTTATGCTAGATTGTTTTTATACCTTAGTCCGTAGTTTGTGTTTGTGGGTACTTTGTTCTTTCTGTGTTGTTGCTAGAGTCGTTTGTGTGTTTTTGTGTATGCTCGTTTTGTTTGTGCTAGTATCGTTTCTTTGTCCATACTTCTATATTTGAGTCGGGGTCTCTTGGAAATAGCTTCTCTACTACCTAGTAGGGGTAAGGTTTGGGTGTACACACCCCCTCCAAACCATACCTTTTATGCGGGTTTACTGGGCCTATTGTTGTTGTTGTTGTTGCATGTTTGGGGTGTACTGGCATCAATGGTTGTAAATTATTTTTCATAGGCTAGTAGTGTAGTTTCAAATCTGTTAAGTGTTTCTTTTATTTTCTTCAAAACCGAGAGCCGAATGAAATGGCCAATAGTGTTATGATAGCAGTTGGTTATCATCATATGAAATGTTTCTATGTGCATAGATACAATTCCACACACTATTGGGTTGTTTGACACTTGACAGAAAGAAAACTACTGAAATGCGCTTACTTAAAATGCTACTATCATTGTGACTTATTTCTTTTATATCAGCATTTTGTTATTGAGAGTGAATGAGTATTGAAAAGAAGTATCCATGGATTTTGTTCTCGATATGTTTATTGGTTTTTCTATAGCTATTAGTAAAATTCAATTTTTTCCCAAAAAGAAAAAAATCACGGTTCTTTTTCTGCATTATGCTTACATGCAATTTGAACTGATGACTGTTTACAGCTGGAGACGTTCAAGAGACAATTGATGCAATCTCTGAGCGAAGATAATTCAACTGTAAGATCATACTACTTGTTCTTATAATTTCAGTTTGGTAAGGCCTGAAATGGCTGAATCTGCTTGAATAGTAGGCTAAAATGGTTGGATAGGCGGAATCTGCCTAACCAAACATACGCAGTATATCGCACTCATGGCTATGGTGTGGGGGTAAGGGAAAGATGTATGCAGACCTAACCTCTACCCCAAGATGTTTGGTTGAATAAATTTAATTATCCAAAAGAAGGCATAAAATATATTAAATACGTAATATTTCTTAATCATTAATAAAGTTAATTTATAAAATGAATATAGAATTGTCATTTCCATTAATTTCAGTTGTTCCAAGAAAAGAAGAAACTCACGTCTTACTTTTTATTACCATCCAATTTCTTCTAAGTAACTAAGTTTTTAGTGAAAAAACTTGCTTACAAGGTCCATTATTATCTCATTTGTTTTTCATACTTCATATATGCCTTTGTTGGAGACCCGTTTTTCTTTACAAACATAGATTTATGTCTATAATGACTTAAGCACAAATGTTCTTTCTGAGCATTTCTAGCTATCAGAAGCTGTTGATGTTGGGACTCGTGATCAAATAGCAGCTAAGGCAAATCCTCCGAAAGGCAAGTCTCTGCTTTCATTTTGTGATGATTATTTGTTCAAATGTTTGTGCTTTGTACGTGTTTGCATGGCATTCCTAGTAGTGAAGATATATGGTAAGGCTGTAAGGGTAAGCATTTTGGTTTGGTTTGACCGCACCGAACCAAACCAAGCTGAATTACAAAAACAACAAACCAGTAGAACCCCATGAAAGTTGGGTCTGGGGAGTGGGGAGGGTGTCTGTACGGAGACCTTACCCGTAGAGAGGTTGTTTCCAGGAGACCCCCGGCAAAACCAAGTTGAATTAGCTAACATAAACCAAATGATATGTGATTCTATTCTGGTTTGAATTATTTTTCCCAAACTGTATTAATTTGAACCAAACAAAAACCCATTAAAATTAAACTCAACAAATAAACACAATAAAACTTCTACAAGAACAAAAGAACAAATTCAAACCAAAGTAAGTTTTGTTTTACTCTGGCCATCATTTTCCAACCTGTTTTGTACCAACACATGCCAAAAATCGTAAAAAATCAAACCCAAAATGCACACCCTTGTGTCTAGTTTGTTTGTACTGTAATGTAATCTAATGGGGCAGCCACCTCATTTCTCAGGGAATGCTGCTAATGGCTACACCACACAATATGCCCTTAATGGATCTAAAGAGAATGCAGGCATAGCTGATGATGGTATCTTTACATGCTAAATTCTCTTTGCATAATTTTGTGAAGCATCAAAAGCTTGTTCATTTTATTTTTAAAATAATGTTTGATCCACAGCATCCAAACAAGCTCTTCAAAGATTTGCAGTGACACCTTACATAACTCCTCGGCTAACCCCAACTGGAACTCCAAAGGTAGCATCTGCTAGTGTATCTCCCAGGCGATATTCAGCGGCTGAATCTCCCCATATACCATCAGGCGCAACTTCACCTACAAGTTTTCAATATGAAGGACGGGGTTCAATGTCGTCATATTTTCCATCAAGCCAGCAATCTTCAGCAGCAAACTCTCCTCCAAGATCACGCCCTATTTCAGGTTTAAATCTCTACTGCCCTTTTCCCCATTCCTTTTGAAGCTTAAGGGTCTGGTTTGTATGGAAGGTTCTAGAGCGCAGTACTTTGCATATTTTAGTCCATATCTTGAAGAATAGAATGCTTCGACAAACGAAGAACGGGCGATCAAATTTTAATAAGATAAATAGATTTGTTATCTTATAGTAGTTGGTTAGACCTCTCAGGATTAGTTTCTTGTTATTGTTGGGGTGTTTTTATGCCTTTTTTACGCCTTGTCTGTAGCGGGTGCTTGTGTGCTTGGTGTCTTTTTCCTTTGTGTGTTTTGTAGCGGGTGCTAGAGTGGTTTTTGTGCTTCTTTTGTCTTTACGTGCACTTCATGTGTGCTTCTGTGGTTTCTTTGTTCTCACTTCTCTCTTTGAGCTGCGTGTCTTTTGGAAATAGCTTCTCTATTACCTAGTAGGGGTAAGGTCTGCCCACACACATCCTCTCCGGATACCACTGTTTGTGGAATTTTACTTTGTTTTTATTGTTGTGTTGGAGACAGCTTTCTACTTCCAAGTAAGAGTATGGTTTGCATATATACACCCCCCTGACCCTACTTTTCCTTGGATTTTTGATATATTTAAGCTTGGGTTTGGAAAGGGAGGGGAGTGGACTGGTCGAGTATATGGAGGAGGATGAAGGGTTGATTTTTAAGATGGTTTAAAGGCATAAGAATAGGGGAGAAAAAGGGGGATACTGGTTGTGCTTTTTAGGAGGGCCGAAAATTTGGAAGGGAAAATAAGAGGGGAAAAGGGATAAAAACCAAGTAGGTTTTAAGAGATATAACACACTCTTATCCTCACTTGGGGTTTGAGTCTAGAATTTAATTAAGATATTACACACTCAATTAAATAACTAGAACCTAACACTCACACTTAAGGAAACCAACCTTAAGATATAGAAATTAGGATTTGAAAACAGAATACAACCAGTGTATTTCTATCTTGAAATGAAGAATAAAAATCTGAGCATTACAATAGGCCTATGGCCGAAATTTAAAGGCACTCATACAAAGGAAAATACTAAGCTATTTCTTCCACAAATCCTAGAAAATGCAGTCATGTGCTTGAGTCCTTTCATGGAATAAAATCAGGGAAAATGGGGACAGGGATTCATGAATGAATATTCATGAATGGAAGGGGATTTTCGGCCATATTAGAGGGCAAAATGGATGGGTGATGTGTTGGGTATTTTGGCTTGGCTAGTGAGGTGAATATTTGGTGGTTGGGGAGTGATTCATTCTGCCATAGTGGGGGACAGTGGGGTGTGAGAAATATGGCTTTTATAGGGTGGCTTTTATGGTGGTTTAAAGGTCAAAGTAATCAAAAATATCCCTTGGCTTGTTGTGCTTGTTATTTCGGTTGTACTAGGGGACAAGGGGGGGACAATGTTTGTGGGATGTTGGGTGATGAAATATGGTTGTTTGGCTTGGTGTGTTTCGGCCCTAGCTTAGGGAAATGAAAAGGAAATTGACTTATGGTTTTTTCTTTTGGCACAAAACGTGTTATTTTGATGGAGTGATTCAAGTAGGGAGTGGGGTAGTCTGGGCAGGGTATACGGCTCTTTTTAGGATGGAGATAGGCTCAAGGTTGTCAGGGTTAAGTAATATGGTTTGGGGTTGGAGAATTCATTCCAGAAAGGATCGTAACACTTAGACATGATTCCACTGATTTGTTTAAGGATTTGAGGATCAGGTGTAGTACTAGGGGATATAACAATTTTACTGTGTTTGTTGTTGTAGATGTGGGGTGAGGTGAGTTGAACATTTGCTAGCTCTTTTCTTCAGATTTTTTTGCTACAAGAACCTTTTTGTTCTTTGAAAGTATTTGTATATGTTATAGAATCTTAAAAAGGTAACCTGCCCATCTGATGTTATGTGTTTTTGTGACATTATCCAAAATTTAAAGGTCAAACTCCCAGAATTGATGGAAAGGAGTTTTTTCGTCAAGCAAGGTGAATACCATTGTTTTATTTTAATATTTTGTTTTGGATATATTGAAATTGCACTGACATTTTCTTCTCTGCTGCTTGATGTAGGAGCCGCCTATCCTATGAGCAGTTCAGTGCTTTTTTGGCAAACATAAAGGAGTTAAATGCTCATAAGCAATCTCGCGAGGTGATTATAGTAATACTCTCTCTGTCCTATATCTTTCTTCTTGTTTTCCTGTTTTTGGTCATTCTTTATCTTCATGTATTACTTTTTTGGTTGTCATATATCTTTTTTAACGTTTTACCTTTTTGCTGTCCTATTTCTTTTCTCCCTTTTCTTAAGGGTCCATTTGAAAAGATGGAAAATGGATTTTGAAAAACAACTCTTGGAAAATGACTACTACAAAATAAATTTGTTTTCTGGTGTTCGGTTGAAACATTCGAAAATGGAAAAAAACCAGTTTTTGTTTTTATAACAAAATAAATTGTGTTGGGTTTCAATATAAGTAGGATAAAGTGGAAAATGTGCCTTACACCGAGAAGAATAGAAATCATTTTCTTCTAAGGGTTTGTTTGGGAAGGGAGGAAGTGACTTTCGTAAGTCACATTCTCATTTTCGGGTGTTTGACTATTTCAGAAGATATAAGTCAACAGAAAATGAGACTTATTTGGAGGAAAATGATTTTTCTGTTTTTTTTCTTCACGAAAGACATTCTCCAACTTTTTAGATCGCATTTTATTATGTTTTACTCCGTAAGTTATAACAACAAAAACTAGCTTTTTTTCATTTTCCAAACTTTCAACCAACCACTATAAATGAATTTATTTTCCAAAACTCATTTTCTTAAACTCAATTTCCAGAAATTGTTTTCCAATGGGCATTTTCCATCTTTCCAAACGAAACCTATATAAGACACCTTTTTCATTGAATTCAGAAATTATTTTCCGTTTCCTGAACATCCAAATACCAAGACTCATCTGGGAAAAAAACATTGTAGGAAACTTTGAGGAAAGCGGAAGAGATATTTGGGAAGGATAACAAGGATCTTTATATGCTATTCCAAGGTTTACTTAACCGTAATTCCCGATAGGTTTGTATCAGTAGCTATATATATATATAAAATTACCCCCTTTCATATGGTGTGTGTATTTATAGGGCTTCATATTATACTAGCATTTGGCTTCCTTAGACACTCTTGTGTATCCCTCATTCTGCAAGCTTCTTAACCAAAAAAGAAAAACTTGTTAAGTTGCTTCCTAAGAGATTCATCAATATCAATGAATGAAGGCTATATATATGGGCTTCATAGTAAATTTTAACTTCAATATTGGTACAAAAATGTTGGCTATATGTTTGGTTAAGGAAATTTGGAAGGACAACAAAATAAAATGATCTCTCTTTTCTCACCAAAATGGAAGAAACTAGTTTTCCCTCTTCTAAACTTATTTTGTCTTCTCATTTTTTCAATTTTCTTTTCTTTTTATCAATGTATCTCCCTATGTTTTTGTTCGGAAAGGTTCCGTTGACATTGGCGTTAGTGTCCCAATATTATGTGTAGTTAGATGTTAGTATCCAATGCTCATTTGGCGAGTTTAGGAAATATAAGTTTTCACATTTTTCATTGTCACAACTTTTCTAGTGTTTGGTAAGTCATTTAAAAAATTCAAATTCAATATCTTCTAATGTCACAAATCATCTAAATGAATATTTTTGATATCTCTAGAAGTTATTAATATAGGATTTGATATCCCCTTCAACTGTCAACCATTATCTACCACCAGTTATTACTAACAACGCCAACCACTCCGTTGTTGGTGACTCTTGCCAATCATAAATTAGATATTGATTTTAAATCTCTCCAAATAATTTCATTTTAGATTTTGAGTTTTATATCATTTATCTTAAATTTCAAAAGTCATATAATATCATATCTTCAAAACTTTCCAAATATGTCCTTAGATTTCAGGATCAAGCCTTTATTTTTTAAAATTAATTTATACAATTACGAGTAATAAATTATAAAAAAAAATATGTTCATATATTTATCACAAACGAAAGGTTTCAAACGCAAACAGATGATTTTGTGTGGTATGTAAGTGAAATACTTCCTCCGTCCCTCATAGATCTTCTCATTAGTCCTTTTTATTTGTCCACCATAGATCTTCTCATTACCTTTTTTAACACTTAAAATACCACAATTACCCTCACTTACTTTATTTATTACATCTCACCTACCTCATTTAATACACTCCACCCATTTTCATTAAGGGTATTATGGTAAACTTTTACCTTTTTTCAACTCTCCTAAAAACCGCAAAAAGTCAAAACGAGAAGATCTTAGGGGGACGGAGGGAGTACTATTTACTGGAAAGCATCATATACGTAGTTAGTACGTACTTAATTAATGATTTACAGCTAGTACGAACTTAATTATTATTCTCTCATCATTTTTAGCAATTTGGATTAGGTTCCTTTGGTTGTATGTATAGAATCTCAGTAGAAATTTTGTCTTCAAGGAAAAGAAGTTAGATGCTGGATAAATTAAGAAGATAAGTACTACTTCCCTATTTAATTCTTTGAATGTAATTCTTGCAAGATAACATTCTCATTTTCTTTCTTTCTTAAAAAAATGCAATTTGATTACCTTATTTCTTTTCATTCTCCATAAATCCTAACTCTTTAATTATATTCTTATAACATCATGTAAAAGAGCGAATGAGAGTTTTAATTTGAGAGAAATAAAGTATAGAGTAGTCCGTATTATTTTACAATAATTTGGAATTATTCTTATTAATGCCTGCATACATCTTCTAACTATTATATTATTATTATTATTATTAAGCCATATATTCTCGTACTAAAAATAATAAATAATGGAATAGGCAAAAACTACCTCAACTCTCCCATGCATTCACAAACAGATTTCTGTGAATGTAACTATTGGACTCATAAGGTTACAAATTAAACAGAATTCCCAATATACTCATAAGCTCAACTTTTTAAAATTTTGACTACAAATTACAAAAAAAATTGTGTTATACTCCGTATATATTTAATGTCAATGAGTTCATTTCCAAACATAGTTTTGAAATATTACCTTTTGTGCTCCGCAATATATGCTCTGTATCCATTTATAAATAAAGATATTAATGGTAATTGTATTGCGTTGAAGACTGTGAAAAATCAAGTGAAAGTATATTTTTATGTGTTGACGAACAAAACATAATTTTAAGAGTCATGTTACACTAACATTACCAAAGAAATTAATTTTACCAATAACAATGTTTGTGTTGTCATTGACACACTAGTAATTGTGATTAACTTGTTTTAATTTGATGTCATGATAGTGTTACACTAGAATTAGTATAATTTAATTAATTGGTTGATCCAATTAACAGTGTTTTCCTTTTCAAAATAACCTCGAATAAAGTACGGAAAGTAGGGGTCATACTGTTTGAGACCAAATTAGGGGTCATATATTCGTTATTCACCCAATAAAGTACTCCGTATATATGAAGATGTGTATTCGTAACTGTTGGTTATACACTATTTGACATCAACGTCAGAGATTATTAGCGTTTTGAAAAAACTATCTGACAGTATGTAGCCTGTAGCATTAGCGTTTTCAAAATTAATCTACACTATTAAAATTCTGTCCAAAGCGCTAACGCTAATCGAAAACATTGTTCCCAAACAAGGCCTAAAACATACGGTTCCGCAATTGTTTAGCATAATACTTCACGGAGTATTTCCTCCTCATAAAATAAAGTTTTGAGTGTAATTTATAAATATATAATTTTTTTGTTTTTAAATTAGACAATAATTTTTTAAATATATTGAATCGAAAATAACTTCGACAAAATTCGTAAATTGAAACATGTTTTTTGTGAAAGAGAGTCCCATAAAAACTTTCATTCTATTAAAAATTCAAGTGGGCCGAGAACAACGAACAGTGTGTCAGGTAAAATTAAACACTTACATATAAAGTCGGAATCCACTTTATAATCTAAAAGCGTGAGCTGATACGTAAACCCTTTTATATACGCTAGTGATATTCTTTCTTATTTTCCGAAGTGAGAAGTCCAATAACACATTCTTCCGTTTTTATCCGTCGTCTTTCAAAAATTTGTTTTCCTTTTAGGTAAAAGAATAAGTTGCTAACAAAAATTCTTTCTTTTCTTAACGAATTCTAACGACAATAATCGTTCACTTTTTGACGTTCTTCATATGTACCGGGAGTAAATTATTTGAAAGTTAAATCCAATATTATGAGAGAGAGAGAGGGAGGGAGTAAATTTTGAACTTTATTTACTCCGATCCTTAGAAAGCAGTCAAAAATGTGAATTTGTTTAATGTACAAAAATGGAAAGGAAAAGAGGATCCGGTGCATGCATGCACAAGTGGGCGAATCATATTTACAACTCCCAGTTTGTAATGTTTACTCATGTACATTATTTATAGAATCTGCTTTAGAATTTGGAGAAAGGTGAAAACATGTTTGAGATAATTACAGAGTAATTTGGAGAAAAAAAATTAAAGTATGAGAAAAATAAAGAAAATATACCAAAAATAGGGGCTTCGTATTTATATTTATCTAAAATAGGAGTAAAAATACATTTACAATGTCAAAAAATATTGTGAAATGTTCATGTACAGTGCAACATATATTATCATAATGCAAACTTTTATTTTGGAAATAAAATCATCGAGTTCCTATTTTAATATTTTCTTTATGTTATCGTCCTATTTTAGTGATTTTTTCATACGTATAGTATGTACCTTTTGTGAGTATTGGTATTTATTCCCTAGCCTACATTTTAAAATAAGATTCTCATTAATCATATAGTTTCTCACTCTCTAAAAGTTCGTCTTGTATATATTAACCTTTTATAGATTTAAAAAGAGACTGTATTTTTATATCGATTTTTTCAAAAATGCCCTTAGATGTGATGAGTAAAAGTATGGTGTGAAATTAATTATATTTTTTTCTCTCACTTCTCGATAACTTTTTTATTTATTCATATGTTTTATTGATTACTAATACTTGACAGATAAAATAAAATATTCATGTCACGTCTTATTTTGTAAAAATGTTCCATAATATTTTTAATTAATATGTGAATTCTCTTATCAACTAATTGTAATCTTTTTTTCGATTGAAATCGCTCACCTCGAAGACCCCTCGTCCAACAAATTGTAGTCTAACTTTAGAAAGGGAGCTAGGGAGTACCGTCATGCCACAAATTGAAGGTGGACACATTGAATATATGCCCATAAGTTTGGGTTGGAAAAGAAAAAAAGGGGAAGCTAGCTAGCTAACTAAGGCCTAAAGTGTATATATGTACGTGCATATATGATAGATAACAGTATCTAGCCATAGCATATGGTTCCACATATATATTGACAACATATTAGTACTCTGTTCAACAAAGAATTAGATTACGAGTACATTTTTTCCTTTACAAGGTACGGAGTCAAATATAATTCTCTTGTTTTAAATTCATTTATTTAAAATTTAAATAATTATGGAGTAAAAGTTTACATAAAAAGTTTTACAAAACAAGAGATATAAAGAATATTTAATTTTATGAAATAATTAATGAAAATATATACAAACAAGCAAAATTATGGAGAGGTAGATTTTAAAAAAATTGTAATCAATTTGGGTCAAAAAGAGTACATCCTTATATCTAGGAATTACACGATTGAATTATAGTCTAAGTAATAGAAAAATTGTACTAACAATACGATAAAGAAATAATATACTCTGTACTCGGTAGTAAGGAAAACAATAAATAATAATATTCCACTCCATATTTCCTTAATACATCTACTATTTCTAATATTATCATCAAATTAAACATATAAACATGCCATATAATTACCTGAAACAAGATAAATAAGAGTAATATATATATATATATATATATATAAGAAATTGTAATCAAAATTGGAACAGAGTGACTGAGGAAGTATATATATGTATTACTCCTTCCGTTCTTAAAAATACTTCCTCTTTCATTTTTTCCACTTTCAATAAAATACTTTCATTTTCTATTAAAAACAACTTTTAGCCTTATTTTTTCATACTTTACCTATAATATCATATTTTTTCATTAATAATCTATTCATCACATCTTACTTTTATCCATTATATCAGAGGTAAAATTGGAAATCAACTACTTTAACACTTCTTTATTTTTACATTTGGTCAAAATAGGAAATCTTTTTGAAAAGGGAATGAGTAATCATGAATATTTCCTAAATAAACAGTTTTAGTTTAAACTTTAAAGTAGTACGTGAACCGAAGGAGAGTGTACACACATA